GTGATCGACAGGTAGGAGGCACCTGTGACCCTTTTTCCACCCTCCCTTCCTTTCTCTTGGAGCTTTTTGAGCACCTTCCTGGGCCAGCGGCGGTGCTGTGGAGGGAAAGAGGAGGCAATGCAGCTGCTGCCTTTAGGGAGGCTGGTGTGGATTTAGCCCAGCTCCCTGTACAATGGGGGTGAGACCAACCTCACCCCTTAGAGGTTTGGGGGGAAGACTCCAGAGGTAACAGGCTGCCCATGGCCTGGCACATAAGATCTCAGGAAAGGGCAGGGATTTTACTAAGAAACTCCTCTGGCAATGTGTAAGGAACCAAGGGCAATAGGAAGAGAGAAGGGTGAGCAGAGCCTGGCATCCTGTGAATGGCACCCTTGTGTTGTGTCCTGAAGGACAAGCAGGAGTCCCTAAGTGGGAAAGGGCATTTTGGGTGGAGGGGAAGCCAGGTACAAAGACAAGGAAGGTAAGAGGTACTCTCTTTCTTGGGGAGACTGGGATAAGGCATAGGTCCCTGGAGGGTGGCCCTTTGGGGTGGGCCCGTGGGAGATGTGTCTGGCTGGGTTGGACTGGGAGGGGCTTGTCTGACCAGTCAGTGAACTTGGGCTTTACCTGTGGGCTGCAGGGTTCCTGCCCTTTCTGAATAGGTGTATGTAGGACAGAGTGCCTTGGGAGAATCCGCCCCGCCCCCCCACTGCTCTCCTGAGCTAGGTTCCTGGCTGGAACCTGGGCAGCCTTGCCATGCTGATTGCTGGTGATGGGGACAGGGTAAATCAAACAACCCGTTCCCCAGCTGCAGATGGACTTGGTGACATCCAGGAACATCCCTGAAGCTTGGAGGGATGAAGGTGGGAATATGACCAGATTGGGGCATTGGGAAGGGAGGGGTGGTGACTTCCGTGGTTCATGAGGAACATGAGCAGCTAGAGGGACCAAAGCTCAGCATAGGGCTTGGTGGGTGAGGGGTCAGGGTTGTCAGGAGGTCAGGGGGAACCATTGCCAGGGACTGGGGAGATGGAGGTCCCCTTAGCCACACAGACCTTCTTGGTAGCATCTGGTTCTATGACTAGTGTTCTTAGAATTTCTGAGGCCTCTTTCATATGATTTGGAGTCTTAAAATTTGACATGAAGTCTTAAATTATTTTTCTTAACAGTACATCCACAGTCTTAATTGAGCTCCACAAAAAAGGAAAAGTCTCTTCATAATTCTACCATCTACCATGCCATCAAATCACTCTTCTCTTGCTTTTCCCAGAAGCCTAGAGAAATTAACCTCACTAGAGTGTGTGTGGTTAAGATGTTTTCTTAAACGTTTCATGTTGCAGTGTTACTTAAAATTAGTGAACTTCACATATCTTGAATATACATTAGGATAAACTTTTATGTAAGTAAATGCCCCTGTAACTACTCCCAGGCCAAGATGTGGAACATTCCAGGCTCCAGAAGCCTCCTTTCCCCTGGTCAGCTCTTGTTCCAAAGTCACCTCTAGTCTAACCCCCATCACCAGACTCATTTTTCCTGCTTACAGGGGACCCTATAGCATGTGTTTTTCTGTCGTCTTTCACTCAGCTTTATGACTGTGAAGTCCTCCCATGTTGCTAGGTGGTGTTCTATTGTGTGAGTAGACCCTGGCTTCTTCATTATGTGACAGACATTTGGGCAATTTACAGTCTTTGGCTATGAGAAATAAAGCTGCTGTTGACATTCTTATACGTATCTTTGGTAGACATAGAATCATTTATTGCTGCTGGCCATGTACCAGGGAGCCATGGCAGGGTCCTAGGGTACACTAGTTTAGCATTAGAGGAAACTTTCAAACTATTTTCCAAAGTAGTTGTACCAATTTACACTCCACACCAGTACTTATTTGCTTAGAAAGCAGGAATGATGTCCACACAGGGTCTGTGAAGGCCTCTGGTCTTGGATGTTGAGAGCCACAGCCGAAGGGGCCCCAGCAAACTTTCAGACTGCCAGCTGATGATTGGCTCACAGCGGCC